AATATATAATAATTTTTTATAATATAATTTTTTTGGAGATTTTTGGTATCCAATAAGAACCCAATGTACCAAATTTCAGCGAAAATTGGAGGGTACTGTTATATGGGAGCTATGCCTAAATGTGGACCGATATATCCCATCTTCGAACTTGACCTGCCTGCAGACAAAAGACAAATCTATGCAAAATTTCAGCATCCTATCTCAATTCCTTGATTACAACAGACGGACTAGATCGTCTTAGAATTTTACCCTGATCAAGAATATATATACTTTATAGGGTCGGAAATGAATATTTCGATGAGTTACAAACGGTATGACAAAATTAATTTACCCTCCATACTATGGTGGAGGGTATTAAAAAAACATCATGCAAAACATGTCACTTCAAATCCGAAGAAGAACAGAAAAAAATATAATGTAAGGAGTATAAGGAAAAAAAAGGATAATACCATTGTTTGCCTCTTACCCTCTTCGAAGCCATTACTTATTTTTTTCCTCACTCAAAGCAAGCGAAAAAAATACTTCTAGTCCCATTGCACATTTTACATTCATTTATACTAACATTTGGATAAATAACCATAAGAAAAAAATCTCTCACACACACACACACACATACATACAGATATACATACACACCGTGTGGTGGAAGTAAATCCTTGGACGAAAAGTAAACTGATTTGCCTCCACTTCACGGTATCCAAAGGATGGTAGGTGGGATGGTTGGTGTTTGCCACTCAAACAAATGCTGGTTGGTGGAAAAGACCTGCATGGCCTTCATTCGTTATTATGGCCTTACGCCGAAGATGGAACCGAATTGCAGTAAGTAGTGAAATAAATATTTCCCGTCAACAATATTTTCACGAACAGATTATAATAAAACAAAAACCCCCAATTGAAATTGACATTGATTTTTTTTTTTTTTTTTTGTTCTGCTTTTGCCTTCTCAGGACATTTGTTATGACCATAAACAAAAGAAAAAATTTGGAACCGAAGGATTTTCATTTATCGCCTTTATTGAGAGTGAAATGAAATATGACAATAAGTATGCAAAAGACACCAGAGCAGTTCGAATGGGATGGGAGAATAAATATTCGATTTTTAAATGGTTTTATTAGCATCCAGCTTAAGGACGACAGTCAATTTAGTGCAGAATTGAAGATGACAGATAGGATAGGATTTGTACAGGCCAAGGCTTGGATTGTTTAAAGAATATCTTTCAGGGAACCTTTACAAGGTGTGGATTTTTAAAATTTATTTCTTCAAGGACCTTTACAAGGCATGGATTTTTAAAATTTATTTCTTCAAGGAACTTTACAAGGCGTGGATTTTTAAAATTTATTTCTTCAAGGACCTTTACAAGGCGTGGATTTTTAAAAATATTTTTAGGGATCAAAAAAGTCGTGGATTTTTTAAAAATATTTTTTTAAGGATCAAAAAAAGTCGTGGATTTTTTAAAAATATTTTTTTAAGGATCAAAAAAAGTCGTGGATTTTTTAAAAATATTTTTTTAAGGATCAACAAAAGTCGTGGATTTTTTAAAAATATTTTTTTAAGCATCCACATAAGGCATGTTTTTATACCCTTATGTCTTTGTGCATATGTTTGTAACAGACAAAAGAAAACGAGATACCCCATTGGTTCCTTTAGAGAATATGCATAGCATCACTTTTTGAGTCGATTTATGTATGTCCGTCCGTCCGTCTGTTGGTGTTAAATTGTAAAAAAAGTACAGGTCGCATTTATAATCCGAACTGGATGAAATTTGGCACAGCTCATTTATTTGGCCCAAGGACGAACCCTATTGAAATTGGGAAAAATCGGTCCAGATTTAAATATAGCTCCCAAATATATTTTCGACCGATACTAGGTAAATGGTGCTCCAAAGTCCCTAAATATCTTTCGAATTGCACGAAATTTGTCACAGCGTACTGAATTGGGTCTGGAGTCATGTCTGCCAAGTTTCGTGAAAATCGGTTCAGATTTAGATATAGCTCCCATATATAGTTTCGTCCGATTTAAGGTAAATGGAGTACCAAAGTCCCTATAAATCTTTCGATTTGCACGAAATTTGGTACAGCGAACTGAATTAAGCTTAGAATGATGTGTGCTAAGTTTCGTAAAAATCGGTTCAGATTTAGATATAGCTCCCATATATATTTTCGTCCGATTTGAGGTAAATGGTGCACCCAAGGCCCTATATATCTTTCGATTTGCACGGAATTTGGAACAACGAACTGAATTAAGCCTAGAATGATGTGCGCAGAGTTTCATGAAAATCGGTTCAGATTTAGATATAGCTCCCATATATTTGAGGTAAATGGTGCACCCAAGGCCATTTGAGAATTTGGAACAACGAACTGAATTAAGCCTAGAATGATGTGCGGAGAGTTTCATGAAAATCGGTCCCGATTTCGATATAGCTCCCATATATATTTTCGTCTGATTTTAGGTAAATGGTGCACCAAAGTCCCTGCATATCTTTCGATTTGCACGAAATTTGTCACAGCGTACTGAATTGAGCCTAGAATGCTGTGTGTTAAGTTTCGTGAAAATCGGTTCAGATTTAGATATAGCTCCCATATATAGTTTCGTTCGATTTTAGGTAAATGGTGCACCAAAGTCTCTATATATCTTTCGATTTGCACGAAATTTGGCATAGCGTACTGAATTGGGTTTGGAGTCATGACTGCCAAGTTTCGTGGAAATCGGTTGAGATTTAAATATAGCTCCCATATATATTTTCCGATTTAATGTAAAATGTGCACCAAAGTCCCTAAATATCTTTCGATTTGCACGAAATTTGGCACAGCGTACTGAATTAAGTCTAGAACGATGTGTGTTAAATTTCGTGAAAATCGGTTCAGATTTAAATATAGCTCTCATTTATTTTTTCGTCCGATTTAATGTAAATGGTGCACCAAAATCCCTAAATATCTTTCGATTTGCACGAAATTTTGCATGGGATACTGAATTGAACCTGAAGTGATGTCTGTCAAGTTTCGTGAAAATCGGTCCACATTTAGATATAGCTCCCATATATATTTTCGTCCGATTTTAGGTAAATAGTGCACCAAAATCCCTATATATCTTTCGATTTACACGAAATTTGGCAAAGCGTACTGAGCTAAGTCTAGAACGATGTGTGTTAAATTTCGTGAATATCGGCTCAGATTTAGATATAGCTCCCATATATTTTTTCGTCCGATTTTAGGTAAATAGTGGACCAAAGTCCTTATATATCTTTCGATTTGCACGAAATTTGGCAAGGCGTACTGAGTTAAGTCTAGAATGATGTGTATACGGTTTCCCGAAAATCGGTTTAGATTTAGATATAGCTCCCATATATATTTTCGTTCGATTTAATGTAAATGGTATACCAATGTCCCTATCTATATTTCGATTTGCACGAAATTTCACATAACGTACTGAATTGAGCCTAGAGTGATGTCTGCCAAGTTTCGTGAAAATCGGTCAAGATTTAGATATAGCTCCCATATATATTTTCGTCCGATTTTAGGTAAATAGTGCACCAAATTCCCTATATATCCTTCGATTTGCACGAAATTTGGCATTGCGTACTGAATTAAGACAAGAATGATGTGTGCTAAGTTTCGTGAAAATCGGTTCAGATTTAGATATAGCTTCCATATATATTTTCGTCCGATTTAAGGCAAATGGTCCACCAGAGTCCCTATATATCTTTCGATTTGCTCGAAATTTGGCACAGCGTACTGAATTGAGCCTGGAATGATGTCTGTCAAGTTTCGTGAAAATCGGTTGAGATTTTCATATAGCTCCCATATATATATATATATATATATACGTTGATTTCCCATTGATCTTTATAAGAGGTTGATTTCTTAAAAATATATATTTTTTTCATGTTTGTTTTTGTTGTCATATAAAATATGTTAACCAGAGATAAGCTAAGTTTGAACCTCAATTCCGTTTACATTTGCTTTAATTCTTTAACTCTTATCAAGAATTGAAATTAATAAATACACCCAACATATGAATATATTTTTTTACTTTTGTTCAATACACATTTGATCTCCAAAGTGAAATGTTGTACTTTATACTGGTGCTAGGACTTTCGGTATTGGCTGTGGATGCCGTACCGCCCTGTGGTAGCCGTACTCTGTGGGCAAGTCAAATATTTTTAATAAAACAAAAATAAGTTGATATGATTTTTTCTACTAAAACCAGGAACCTCAGGATGGAATCGTAAATTCAAATCCTGAACAAGAAATTGTGCAGCTACGAAATCAATTTGTGCAACGCCATTGGGAACTAATGACTTTAAATCTTAGGAAAAAGCTTACGATATTTGAACAGAAACTCGTAAAACTTGAAAATGAATTGGGGTTGCCTTCAGAAATATCTGCTGTTGAGAAAATAAATTCTACTGCTAAAAGCGATGATGGTGTGCTAAGTGAAAATGAGCCCGAACAACCTCTGCCAGATAATCGTAAACCTGCTGCTGAGAAAATATATTTTACCGATATAATGGATGATGGTGAGTTTTGTCCAAACCAAAGCAAATACTTAAAACAAAACAAGTAGTTTCCTAATAAAAATGTTTAAAAAAATCCAAACCTTAGATATTTCCCCCCAAAAAAATATTTTTAAAAAATGTTATGTAGGATACTTGTCAAAAGATTTTTTAAATCCAATCCTATGCTAGGTTTTGAAAGAAAATATTTTCAAAAATGTTTTGTTTATTCTATTTTCATTCTTCATTTTCCTTTTTAGATGAGCCAAAGGTATGCAAATTGAATAATGATTCCAACCTCGTATGGTATGTACCTCCCGATCCAAATTACAAGACCAAGCCCAAATTATGATTAAGTGATTCTCTCTCTCACACACACTCTCTCTTTCTCTCTTCAGCACAAATTTATCGCTTGCCGAGAGTTGTGCCGATTCAAATAGCTTCAATTGTCGTAATGGACTGTGTCGCATACGAAATCACATCTATGGCCCCAAGTCATTTTGGGTACCCTGTGATGGCGATTGGACAATTATCCAGCGACGTATTAATGGATCCGTGGATTTTAAACGGAGTTGGATGGAATATCGGACAGGCTTTGGAGATTTGAATGGAGAATTTTGGCTCGGCTTAGATAAGATCCATTCCCTAACGACTCTACACGGAAACGCTGAACTTAAAATTGAAATGCAGGATTTTGACAATGACTGGGGTTACGCCCGTTATGAATCGTTTTCAGTTGGCAATGAAAACTCAAAATATCGTATATATGTGACTGACTATATTGAATCGAGTGCTGGGGATTCGCTCGATATGCATGACCAGAAAAAATTTTCAAATTTCGACCAAGACAATGAGGAAAATTGTGCCTATTCAATGATGGGGGCTTGGTGGTACTATTATTGCAGAACGGAGTATGTTAAAAGGGTGAACTAATAAGAATGATGGATTTTCTTTAATATATTTTTGTTTGCTTTATTTTTTGTCAACAGCCTCGACAATAGTAATTTGAATGGTTTCTATTACAAAGATGGGGACATTCCAGTAGACAAGCCTGGCAGTGGAATTGTGTGGTCAACATTTCGTGGAAAATTCAATTCATTGAAATTTGTTCAAATGAAAATTAAACTAAATAAATAATTTTTCAAGGATCTCTTTGGGAAATAGATAAAATATTTTTTTAAAAAAAATTTTTAGATGGCCTATATAAGGCGGGCATTTATTAAACATAGCATTTCAAGGAACCATATAAGGGAAGATTTTTTTTATTAAATATGTTTCAAGGATCTAAACAAGGCGTGCATTTTTATACCCTTCACCACACTGTGGCACAGGGTATTATGTCTTTGTGCATATGTTTGTAACAGGCAAAAGGAAACGAAATAGACACATGGTTCCTTTTGAGAATATGCATAGAATCACTTTCCGAATCGATTTATGCATGTCCGTCCGTCCGTCTGTCTGTCCATGTTAAATTGTAAACAAATGCAACCTGTACGCAATTTTAATCCGAATTGAATGGAATTTGGCACAGTTCACTTATTCGGCCCAACGACGAACCCAATTGAAATTGGGAAAAATCGGTTCAGATTTAGATTTAGCTCTAGCTCCCATATATATTTTCGCCCGATTTAAGGTAAATGGTGTAACAAAGTCCCTATATATCTTTCGATTTGCACGAAATTTGGCACAGCGTACTGAATTAAATCTATATTTATGTATGTAAAGTTTCGTGAAAATCGGTTCAGATTTAGATATAGCTTTAATATATATTTTCGTACGATACTAGGTAAATGGTGCTCCAAAGTCCCTAAATATCTTTCGATTTGCACGAAATTTGGCTTAACGTACTGAATTGAACCTGAAGTGATGTCTGCCTAGTTTCGTGAAAATTGGTTCAGATTTAAATATAGCTCCCATATATATTTTCGTCCGATTTAAAGTAAATGGTGCGCCAACGTCCTTAAATATTTTTCTATTTGCACGAAATTTAACATAGCGTACTGAATTAGGCCTAAAATTACGTAGCTGAAGTTTTGTGAATATCGGTTCAGATATATATAGCTCGCGTATATATTTACGTCCGATTTAATGGAAATAGTGCTCCCAAGGCCCTATATATCTTTCGATTTGCATGAAATTTGTCACAGCGTACTGAATTGGGTCTAGAGTTATTCCTGCCAAGTTTCGTGAAAGTCGGTTCAGATTTAGATATAGCTCCCATATATATTTTCGTCCGATTTAAGGTAAATGGTGCACCCAAGGCCCTATATATCTTTCGATTTGCACGAAATTTGTCACAGCGTACTGAATTGAGCCTAGAATGCTGTGTGTTAAGTTTTGTGAAAATCGGTTCAGATTTAGATATAGAACCCATATATAGTTTCGTCCGATACTAGATAAATGGTGCACCAAAGTCCCTAAATATCTTTCGATTTGCACGAAATTTGGCATAACGTACTGAATTGAGCCTGGAATGATATCTGCCAAGTTTCGAGAAAATTGGTCCAGATTTAGATATAGCTCCCGTATATATTTTCTTCCGATTTAAGGTAAATGGTGCACCCAAGGCCCTATAAATCTTTCGATTTGCACGAAATTTGTCACAGCGTTCTGAAATAAGTGCAGAATGATGTGTCTTAAGTTTCGTGAAAATCGATTCAGATTTAGATATAGCTCCCATGTATATTTTTGTCCGATTTAATGTAAATTGTGCTCCAAAGACCTTTCCATTTGAACGAAATTTGTCAAAGCGTAGTAAATTGAGCCTAGAATGATGTGTACTAAGTTTCGTAAAAACCGATTCAGATTTAGATATAGCACCCATATATTTTCGTCCGATTTAATTTAAATGGTGAACCAAAGACCCTATATATTCTTCGATTTGCACGAAATTTGGCATAGCGTATTGAATTGAGTCTAGAATGATGTGTGCTAAGTTTCGTAAAAATCGCTTCAGGTTTAGATATTGTCCCATGGTACGCAGGTGACCTCTAATCTGCCGGAATGAAATTAAATTTGTAAGGATACATATGTACAATAAGTCCAAAATGGTGAAGGGTATCATGTTTACTTTACTACTTTCCTTACTGGTTTAAAAGTATTTTAAGGACCTTTACAAGGCGTGGATTTTTTAAAATATTTTTCATAATTATTATATTTTTTCAAGAACCTGACTTTTTTAAATATTTTTCAGGACCCGAATTTTTAAAAATTTGTGTTTCAAGAACAGAAGACGTGGATTTTTTTAATATTTTCCCAAGGACCTAATGGAGTCTACTTAATGATCTGATATCTGCTCAGCATTACATGTCATTGATAATGAGAGTACCCCCAGTCATCCAACTAATAGTCCATGCCCCATTCTTCTTGTTGTATGACATTGTTGGTATTTCGTATTGTTGTTCCAACTCCAACTCATCACCTGCAGGATGATCATGATGATTATTATTTACAGCATCATTCTGTGTTTGTTTTCAAATACCAACATCAACGACATATTTTTCTTGCTTTTCTTTCTACCATTATTGAGTCCTTCTCCTTCTGCTTGCTGCTATATTCACTCCTTACTTTCTCTAGGTTATCCTTTTGCATTTCAGTTCTGTTTTGTATTGTTGTAGCTGCATAGAACCACGTTTTTACTTTTGGAAAACTGGCAGTGGCTGTGTGCAATTTTCATAAATTGTGGCTGCTGCTGCTGCTGATATGCAATGCGTTTCATTGACGACAGACGACATTTCCATGAATGCTGGCTGATGCCACACATCCTTGCGGGGCAAAAATGGAAAAAAAAACTCCTTCGAACATACAAAGAAGGAGAATACATTTGATATTGTTGGTGTTGTTGTTGAGAATGTATGCTCAGGTATTTATTTTGTTAACAGGAGCGGGGAGGCGTTCAGGACAATGCCTTGTATGGGTCCTTGAAAAATATTTTAAAAAAATCCACACCTATTGAAGGTCCTGGAAAAAAATATTTAAAAAAAATATTTTAAAAATATGGAAGCTATATCGAAATCTGAACCGATTTTCACGAAACTTTGCTCACAAATTTCTAGACTTAATTCAGTACGCTATGACAAATTTCGTGCATATCGAAAGATATAGAGGGTCTTTGGTGCACCATTTACATTAAATCGGACGAAACTATATATGGGAGCTATATCTAACTCTGAGCCGATTTTCATGAAACTTAGCACACATCATTCTAGACTCAATTCAGTACGCTGTACCAAATTTCGTGCAAATCGAAAGATATATAGGGTCTTTGGTGCACCAATTACCTTAAATCGGATGAAAATATATATGGAAGCTATATCTAAATCTGAACCGATTTTCAGGAAACTTAACACACATCATTCTAGCCCTAATTCATTATGCTATGCCAAATTTCGTGCAAATCGAAAGATATATGGGGACTTTGGTACACCATTTTCATTAAATCGGACGAAAATATATATGGGAGCTATATCTAAATCGGAACCTATTTTCACGAAACTTAACACACATCATTCTAGACTTAATTGAGTACGCTATGCCAAATTTCATGCAAATCGAAAGATATATAGGGGCTTTGGTGCACCATTTCCATAAAATCGGACGAAAATATATATGAAAATATATATGGGAGCTATATCTAAATCTGAACCGATTTTCTCGAAAATTGCCACACTTTATTCCGGAACTAATTCAGTACGCTATGCCAAATTTCGTGCTAATCGAGAGATATATAGGGACTTTGGTGCACCATTTACATTAAATCGGACGAAATTATGTATGGGAGCTATATCTATATCTGGACCGATTTTCAGGAAACTTAACACACATTATTCTTTTCTCAATTCAGAACGCTGAGCCAAATTTCGTGCAAATCGAAAGCTATTGAGCGACTTTGGTGTACCATTTACCTTATATCGGACAAATATATATATATGGGAGCTATATCAAAATCTGAACCGATTTTCAGGAAACTTAATACATATTATTCTAGGCTCAATTCAGTACGATGTGCCAAATTTCATGCAAATCGAAGGATATATAGGGACTTTGGTGCACCATTTAGCTTATATCGGGCGAAAATATGTATGGGAGCTATATCTAAATCTGAACCGAATTTGCCCAATTTCAATAGGGTTCGTCCTTGAGCCAAATAAATGAGGTGTGCCAAATCTCATGCAATTCGAATTAAAAATGCGACCTGTACTTTGTTTACAATTTAACATGGACAGACAGACAGACAGACGGACGGACATGCATAAATCGACTCAGAAAGTGATTCTATGCATATTCTCAAAAGGAACCATGGGTCTATCTCGATTATTTTTACATATTACGAACATATGCACAAAGACAGTGTGGTGAAGGGTATAAAAATCCACGCCTTGTTAAGGTCCGTGGAAAAAAGTCCTTGTGAAGGTCCTTAAAAATTATTTTTAAAAAATCTACGCCTTGTAAAGGTCTTTAAGAATTATTTTTAAAAAATCTACGCCTTGTAAAGGTCCTTAAAAATTATTTTTAAAAAATCTACGCCTAGTATAGGTCCCTAAAAAATATTTTTAAAAAGTTCACGCCTATTATAGGTCCTTAAAAATTATTTTTAAAAAATCTACGCCTTGTAAAGGTTCTTAAAAATTATTTTTAAAAAATCCACGCCTTGTAAACGTCCTTAAAAATTATTTTTAAAAAGTCAACGCCTTGTAAAGGTCCTTAAAAATTATTTTTAAAAAATCTATGCCTTGTAAAGGTCCTTAAAATTATTTTTAAAAAATTTACGCCTTGTAAAGGTCCTTAAAAATTATTTTTAAAAAATCTACGCCTTGTAAAGGTCCTTAAACATTATTTTTAAAAAATCTACGCCTTGTAAAGGTCCTTAAAAATTATTTTTAAAAAATCTACGCCTTGTAAAGGTCCTTAAAAATTATTTTTAAAAAATCTAC